CCCTTCTCCCCTTACCAATCCCCTCCCCACCTCATTGTACTCCTTGATGGGAAGGTTCCCATTTGTTTCAGGTTATAGTTTTTAAAGAGGTGAAGTTATAGGATGGAACACATTTGGTAGACTAAGAATGTGCCACAGGTGGCCAGTTTGGGAAATGACTCTTGAGCACATAGGACCACTTTGCTCAGCTCTGCCCTGGGTAGAGATGTTGGTATTGAGCAGCCCCTTCCAGCTCTTCCACCTCCATCACCCACTGTATTTCATTCTCCTCCAGGACAGATCTTTAAGCTCTAGCCAGGAAGACACTGTGTCTGAGTAGCACTGAGCTCAGTGAAGGGCCCGTCTCTGGATCTTCAGTCTGTGATAACCCTGCATGGGCGCTGTGGTCACACACTGTCCCTTGTGGGGAGAGAGTGTTGTGTTTGGACATCTACTCTGCTTTGGAGTTTCTGTTTACTTGGCAGATATGCCAATCAAGGCCGACTCCTGGAAGCAGGGCCATGGACTACTTCTCTGTACTTCCCACCCTGGCCTGAGTACCTCACATGGGGTAGCTGCTTAATACCTGTCTTTTGAACAAGTGGACTGATGAGTGGATTGTGCTCTATCTTTGTGGTAGCTGTTGACAAGTTGGGACACATCATGTGGATTCAGGTGCATTTCCTGGATGCCTGGAGCCACACAGAATCTGGGCAGCAGCATGGGCTGCCTGCCTTCAGGGCTGTTCCTAGGAGTCAGTTGTGCTGTGCTGCTTATGGGCTGGCGGGGCCCCCTCCCGCTCCAGGCCTAACCTGGCGGGTTGAACAGTGGCTGCAGCTGAGAGGGTGAAAGGGTGCTGATCGCTTCTCAGGAGTGCCTTGGCTTTCAGTGTCTTTACTCACAGCTTTCTGTTGAATTGTACTCGGTTCAGTGGTCTGATCTCTTGAATATTAAACATCTAGGGATAGTCCCTAGATTGAAAAATGTTCCTGAGAGGGTTCAAAATTTAGCTTAGGAAAAGTTGACAGTACTACTCAAGGAGTTTGACCTAATTACAGAAATGTCCTTCCAGTCAGGACCGAGTAGCTGATGAGCTCTGTGGCAACAAGGCAGAACCTGTGTGTTTGGGACGCACAAGCAGATGAGTGTTCCTCGTCCCCATCTGTGCCCCAGGCCTCCCACAGTGGCTCCTGACGTCCACCACCAGATTCCACCATCCTCATCCCAGACTGTAATCAGACTTCTCTCCACAAATATCTCCCGAGTTGTCCGCTTAACAAGGAACGCTTCTCCCAGCCCTAGCAAGACCACCTGCTGCATTCACCCGTCCACCTGTCCGTCCACCCGGTGGTTCTGAACACTGACTGTATGGAAGGCACTGTGTTGAGGCACTGGGGATACAGAGATGAATGAGACATAGTCACTGCCTTCATGGCTCACATTCTAGCAACATGTAAACAGCACACAGTAAATAGTCAATGTCATGATATGTCAGACAGTGAACTATGGGTACACAGAAGCAGTAGAGAGATGAGGAAGGGAGAGGAAGGAGAGGCTGACTCTGAAGACAATAAATACCTGTCACAGAGCTTAAGTAATAGTGATGCTCTCTTAGGACTACCCCTATCTAAAGCAGTGGGTTTTAATCTTTGTGCTTTTAGCAGCAAAACTGTGTCTCTAAATAAAATTCTACTTGGATCACCAGTAACCAAAACAAACAGAAGCAGATGAGCTGGGGGTGGGGCGAAGTGGTCTGGAGAGCTCTGTGCTTGGCCTCACCCAGGCTCCTGAGCCCCTGGCCCTGCTCCTCCCGAGACATACTGGCCCTGGGGCCGCCCTGGGGACACACCTGTGCCCTGGAAGGCTTGTTACAGGCGCATCTCCAGGTGACTTTTGTCATTCCCACCTAGGGCCTAAGCTGGAAAGCTAGGCTTTTCTTCTGGGTAAGAGGTACATGAGTATAATACTTAAAGATAGCAAGGGGTGGATTCGAATGAGGAATCAGTTTCCTTTTCTGAGAACGGAGCTAGTTCTTACCCAAGGCGTAGGGCAGCCTGAGGGAGGGCCTGCCTCTCGTGTACAGTTTCTTACAGTGCACCTTGTTAGCGCACAACCACTGTTAAGGTTGGCCTTACTGAGTACTTACAACATGATGGACCCTTATCACAAGTGTTTTGTAAATATTGGCTCAGTTAATCCTTCTAACAGCCCTCTGCACTTGGTACTATTCTTGCATCACTTTTGCCAGTGAGGAAATGAAAACATGTAGAGGCTACACAGGTGAAGGGTGCTGGTGCTGGCATCCCCACGGAGGCACGTGGCTCCAGAGGGCACCTAGGCATGTTCTCCACCTTGCATGCCAGCTTCCAGACTGAGGGGCCACCTCACATCTCAGAGCTGGGGATTTTATTTGGGGCTTTAACTATAATTGATAAGTTGCAGATCACACGCCATGTCTTTTATGTTTATGTATGTAATGTACATATTTATGTATTTTTTATTCATAAAAACATCCTTCAGATGTGGGCAGGCAGTTGGTGCCAGGTGGCTTTGCTGCCAGTAGAGAAAGTTTCAGAGAAACGGTGCCTTCCCCCTAAAGCAGCTCCCACCTCGTGCCGTTGCTCTGAGCTGGTCCCCAGCATGTAGCTCTTGGCCGGTGAGTTCTGGCTCAGGGACGATGGAATTGGGGCTGCAGGCTCAAAAGGGGCATTTATTGGTGTTCATCCTTTCTTCCCTGAGGCTCAGAGCCTGTCTTCCCATTATTGCCTTGGATGTGTCCTTTTTCACAAAGAGGATGCTTTCTAGCTATGAGACTGATGCTGAAGGCCACCCACTCTTCAGCACCTGAGCCCAGTTCATGTAGACCAATGGTTTTAAAAATGTTAACCTTTTTAAAAACAGAATCTCTGCCTCAACCTTAAACTGCATGAGCTCCAGCAAGTGCATCAACTTTGGCCCTTGGACTTTGGTACCCTTGACTGTTTCTCTGATTTCTCACTTTCACTGAAAATTTTGGTTTTGGTCACAAATATGAATTGGAGGTGTAGGGTGGGAGGAGGCAGAGACTGGAAGAATAATTTTGGATTATCTAGGGATTTTCATTGACTGTGCTGTCTCTGTCCCTCATTATTGGGGATGAATAAGGTTGGTTTTATAAAGGATTAGCATGCCTGTGCCATTTTGCAGGTAGAAGTTTAGGACTTTTTCTTTGAATCAAACACTAAGCAAGAAAAACAAATCTAACATAAAACCTCAAAGCAAAAAAGAAAATCCAACAGAAAATGCCATTCTGTTCAGACTTATGGCCCATAGGAAAAATATCAAAAATATTCTTTCAAAGGGCTGAGCAGCAGGCCTCCCATTTAAGCTTTGCAACTGTTATAGGATCTCTCTCACATGTCACTTTGAAATTTTACCCTTCTCATCCTGAGTGATCAAACCCCTTCTCTTGCTTTCTTTCATTCTGCAGTCCTGAATAGACCCACCATTGCTCTCCAGCAGGGTATGGTTTTAGTGTCATCTCATTTTGGAAAAGCATTGATGCCAACCAGCAGTATTCTTGGATCTGCCTTTCTTTTTCGTCCCCTTTCTTCTGAGCCTAAAGAGATCACATTCAGAAAGGCAGTGGGGTTTTCTAGGTCAGGGAAGATTCTGGATGCTTTCCATAGGTCTCTTGGTGGTGAAGGGATTGCTTTCTTCTGCCGCCCCAGATTTGCCACGGCCACCAGTAAGGGAATGGTTTTCCAGATGTCTCTTGCTAAAATACACTCAGAAGAACTCCCCCTACCCCACTCCACTTTGTTTCCAAAGTCAATTTATTAAATATTAAGTCATAAAGCCAGTGATTGTAATTTTAATGAAAAATATCCTGTATCACTGAAGACAGAAAAGAACAAAAATACCCCTTAGAAACACTGCTTTGAAAAATAGTTAACATTAACTTTACACACAACGGAATCCTTTCTTAAGCTTTATTTAAGAAATCGAGTACTATATAGTTCAATATATATAAGACACATCCAGTATTGTGTTCCTGATAGCAAGTGCATAGATTTTGTTAAGATATCATTTTCACTCGATATAAACGTTTCATGGTCACATGAAGATAATATTCCCAGTGATTTTGCCCAAGCATGAGAGGAGAAAACAGAACACAGCAGAAATAGTGAACTACAACAGAGATGAAAAACAAAAACAGCGAATTAGCAGAACAGTCGATTCCTGATAAGTGAATAAGCTGATTGTTTGGTCACAATGTTTTTATTCACTTATCAGGAATGATTCACAGTACATTAATGTTCACTGTGTTTCCTAGCCTGCCAGCTCAGAGTGCCCGCCCGAGACTGCTCAGAACTGCTGTGGGCTGTGCAGATGTGTGACTTCTGTCAGCAAAGTCAACGCTGACAGGCCTGTCATTTCCCAGTGCGGTCTGTGCATGGCAGGCAAAGATGCCTTGCTGACACTGCAGTGGTGTTTTACAGAATCAAGAGGGTAAGTGTGAATTTAAGCAGGGACCAACTTTACATCATACGTGCTTAAGGGAGCTAGCATTTTTGTCCCCTTCTTTGGAGAGTTATTGTTTTCGTTGTTTTTCCAAAACAAAAAAAATTCTGGTTTCTTTCCCTTCTTTTACTTAGCTTGAGTATTTTGTCCTGTGCCAGATGGTGGATGTAGATACTTGTATGACTTAAATATTGAAAAAGTAAACACTCACATCTTGGAAAGAGTTGATCACCCTCTTTACACCCTTCTCCCCTCCCTCACACCCTCCACCCCTGCAAAAGTATTTACGAGAAAGAAAGGAAATCACACCCTTAGCACTCTTTTCCCCACTAATGTAAGCAGTGGGTTTTCAGAGGCAAACTGATGAAGGCTCTGATGAGGTTTAAAGCAGAAGTATTGGTAGGAAGTCAGCTCCCATCTGTGCAGGTCTGGAGCTAGTAGAGGCTACTTCGCTGAGGTGTTTGGCCTGTGTGGGAAACAGCCTCCGCCTCACCCAGCCCCTCTGTGCTGAGCCCCGTCTAGGGCTCAGAGGGGCTGCCGAAACCGGAGGGCGAGGGGCCTGAGCACCTGCGGGGAGGATCTTGTTGGCAGCCAGGGGATGGCCGCCAGTGCCGGGTGGCCTGAGTCAGAGCGAGCTTGTGCGTCTGAAGAGTTGGAGGGAGAGAATGAGACAGGGAGCAGACGTCAGTGGAATCTTGTAAGAGCACTTGGAGAGCGATCAGATTCCTGAGCAGAAGAGATGGGCAGAAAGGGAGGAGGGCCTGTGGCTTCAGCTTTCGAGGGCGTACAAGGCTTTCTACAAAGTATACGCTTTCAGCAGGGAGCGTGTGGATGTACATGGCATTCTTGGTTTTCATGTGGAAATGGATGATGTATTATGAAGACTTGGGCATGAAAAGCTTCACCTTTCCCCCTCCTACCTGACCGGACTGAGCAGAGCTTCCATTTGAGCCCTTACAAGTATTTTCTCCCATTAGTTTTAATAATTAAAGCTGCTCTTTGATTCAGTTAGTTCTTTAAAATAATTTACTTTTCTACACATATCTATTGATTGATGGCAATGCATGGATTTAACGCCTTTCATATCTATTCACCAGGTAAGTAAAGTTTATTTTTCTTCCCTTAAGGAGCTCACCTTTTTCAAAAAATGTGACTGGCTTCTGAGAAGAGTTTGATGGTAATGATAGGCCTTTGGACTCATGGGTAGATAGAAGAAACCCCAGCTCTGCTGCCTCTCTCCTGGCGTTTCTTAAGGTTATGCAGCAAAGTGGCAGCCGTTTTTATTGGGTGTTAAGAACTGCATACACATATCAAGAGAAGAAGAGAGGTGGGTAGAGAGCAGAGAAGAGAGAAAGTGCAATGTACCAGTGTGGTCAAAAGACCGGACAAGGTCTTGGCAAATCTGACTCTGTAGGCAGTTATGTAGGTGGACCATAGACATAAGTCTTGGAAGCAGTGGTTAAAATAGGCTGTTGTACATAAATCCGAGGTGGCTGGTGTGTAGTTCCCCCTTCCCCAAATCAGATATTCACTTAGGTGGAATCGACTGTATCTTTTTACACAACATATAGAAAAAAACAGATACGTGAAACAGTGAGGTGTGTAGATGTATCACCAACATACAATGACTACCAACAATACAACACTCAGAGAGAGAAACAAGTATTAGGAAAATGGTTTAATATTGGAGACAGAAGCAAAAAACTGCATCACACAATAACATACGTTACAAAAATAAGTTTGACTGTTTCAACTACACGGTTATGTTCACAATGAGGACAGAAGAATCAGAAAAAACTTTGATCTAAACAGCAAAAAAGCAAACCCCTAAAGTTTTAACTAATACATTTATCCACTTAAAGTGACTGAGTACTTCTAAATCTAATTACCTTATTGTGTAACTGCACAATACAGAATAAAAAGTGAAACTTACCGCTGTATTTTAAGACAAAATTCTAATGCTAGATATAAGCAAAGGGAAAAAAGAAATTAAGCCAAAGTTTTTAATTCTCAAAAGAAAAGCAACTTTCTTTCTATCAACCAGAAATCAAACTTGAAATCAGTCATTGTCAGGGGGCCCACTAGAGTAAGCCACAAAAATTTCCATTTTTTTTAATCTCCAGTATAAAAAGTTCCACTGGTACAAAATGCAGAAGTACAATCAGTTGTAGAAATAGGAAAGCCTGCGTTATTATTATTTTTTTTTTGGCTCAAATTCCATCAAACAACACAATCCAAATGCATCAATAAAACAAACAATACTCAAATGGTCTTACAGTTTTCCACTAGGTTGCATTAACTTTGGCTTTTCTCAGACAATATTTAAAAACTATTTTGTAATTCTAAACAAAATGATATTATTAATCTACAAACAACAATTCTCACAGCACAAAAAAACACATACATTTTTTTTTTGTATGACATTATTCAAAAAGGTAATGAAACTACAGGTTTTTTTAAAATTTTATTTCTTAATTAGCACTTAAGATAATTAAAAACAAACAGTAAAATGAATCCAGAGTAGCACAAGCCAGAGAACTATAACCCCTATGGTGAAAGAAAGATGAACTTGTTACGCCTTTGAGGACTGCCGTTTGATTGTAATTCTCTAATTCAGTTTAAAAATGACTATTCTCTACACTTGATTTTTAAAAAAGCAGTTTCCCTGTGTGTGTTCTTCTGGCACAGGCCCTTCGCACCCTTGCAGCTTTTTTCTTTTGCTATTAAAAGACAAAGTGAAGAAAAGGACAACTTGTCTTTGAGGAGGGTTATCTTTTTAGCAATGAAACATGCCCAAAAAAAATAAAAAAAGAGAGAGAAGACCTTCCCCCTAACGGTACTGTCTTGGTTGCCTGTAGAACAAACACTTAGCTCTAAGTGCCCGCCCTGAGCCGCTTGTCAAGTGCACTCAGCTCCTCTGGGGGAGGGGGAGGACGGGGGCACTGGAGCACTTCTGGCTTCAGCAAAGAAGTGGGAGAAGATGGCTTAAGGGTTATGTATAACTGATGAGAGATTCTGAATGAAACAGTCTAGGAAATTCAGATGGTGTTGCCTTGTGTTCTTACACGTGTATCTGTGTTACCACTGTATCGTATATACGAGAGAGACATGTGCGATAACCTTTATTACTCAGCTGCTTGCTGCAGGAAGTACAAAATAGCCCTCGAAGGATGAAGGAAGGCCCCAGCAGTAGTAAACACGTGTGAGGATAATACAGGTCATTTCATTGTAAGTGCATGTGCTGTAAGAAGGAAACTTTTTTTTTTTTTTTGCATCATTAGAGGCTAGTCCTTTCCCTCCCAGGGCTATCACATCCACACACACAATAAACCAAACAGGGTGGTCAGTGGGAAATGGAGGGAGGAGGTGGAGCCAGCAGTTTCTGAACTCCATTACGAAACAAAGAAGCTTCCAAAAAAGGTAGGAGTTTGAGTGGGTTGCAGGGATGACTTGGGGTTTGTCAGGACAGCAAGAGACCTGTTCACATAAAGTCAAAGAAATATGGCACTTTAGAAAATGGCAGCAGGAACTGGTGCTGGGTATTTGGTCAGTAACTGTGATGAAGAACTGAGTTTGCCTTGAATGGTCAGTCCCCTTTAGATGCATTCAGTTCAGAAGAAACAGAAAGGCAGGGAAAGGATAGTCAACGTCTAACTCCAGACACGTTGCTTATTCAGAGGTATCCACTGGGGTTGGAAAATCCCCAGCACAATGGCTGATAAGAAACATTACCTTGGGAATAAGTAAGAAACGAAAGCAAAATCCCTCCAAAGACTACCCCATCATCACAGAGTGGTTTACCTGGACAGGTGCATGATGTTACTGTAAACTGGAACATACTGCTCACCTGACCTCAAAAGCAGACTGAATTTAAGGTTTATTTAGGTGCTTGACCCTATCTACCGTTCCCGTTTATCTCGTAAACTCTCTTCCTTTTGAATGTCAGCCAAAGGATAAAAAAGTAGGAAAGACAGAAACAACTGAAAGATATATGCAGAAAAAGAAATCCAAATTAGAAACACCCCAAAACAAATGGAAATGATGACAGTATAAAAAGTTATCAACATTCCAGATAGCTCTGGGTAGAAAGGGTTAAAAGTTCAAAACTTTCTCACCTTAGAGGTTTCCATATATCATGAAGAAAATACATTGTGAGGTTGCCGTCACAGCATTGATGTGCAGAGTGGTTAAAAAAGTGAGACATGGGCACTTATACAATGTCTTACAAAAAACATCATAGAGAAATAACAAACAATAACAATTTCAGGCAACAAGACCACAGGATAGCAAGTTAACAAACTTTTTAACCTTTTTTTTTTTTGTTTTTTGTTTTTTAAATATTAGGGATTTATACAAAACACATAATAAAATACCCATGTTATCAAATTACTTCTCACAAGAAACACACTGAAGCTCTAGGAAGGAAGTACCTTTGGAATTTGGCACTATATATTTTCACTTTTTTTCTTTAAAAGAAAAAAAAAATCACATTTTGCTGAACACAAACACATCTAAATAGTCCACAATTAAAAAAAAAAATGACATCAATGCTTTACAAGCCAACACAAAACTTATTCTGGAATAGGTTTTTTTTTCCCCCCTCACATGAAATTTTTTTTTTTAAGCAAACAACTTTTTTTTTGAAATTCTTTTTTGTTTTAAGTAAACCAATTCTAAACTTGTCTTATCAACAAAGAACATTAAGACCATAAGACTCATGATGAAACCACAACTTAATTCACAGAAGCACCAACGTAACACAGTTTACAGTAACCTTTCTCCTGTACATTGAAACAGTATAAAATATAGGTAATTTCATGTGCATTAAACCATGGATTGTCTAACTGTGAGTCAGTTCAGCAAAAGGTGACACAAATAGGTAGCATTTGCCCCCAAAACAGGGTAAATATTTTTCTTATACTAATCTACAAAAAGTGGTTCTATATATATATCTTAATGAGAAAGTGAGCCACCTAAAATGGCCTTATCAAAAAACTTTACACTGCCTGAAAAATGTAAAAACTATTACAGACCTCTAGAGACTTAAAATCAGACAGTTTTTTTCTCAAACTGTTTTTGGAAGTAGTCTGTTAGAAACCAACATTCTGTGTCCCTGGACACATATTGCTATTGTTACCAGTGACCGGGAAGAATGCCAATCCCTGTATAATACTTTCAAGTCTGTTTTATGAAAAGAAAAAAAAAATAAGAAAGAAACATTTTTGCCACAGGTTTTTTCTATAATTAATTTGTCTAATAATAAATTTCAGTCTTGCATGAATGCAGCAATGTTTTTTCACATTGACTTCCCAGAATTCATAGCTAGATGAGGTCACATGCAAATTTCAAAGGTCAAACTAGATCAAAGGTCAGTAGGAGAACCAAATATGATGTGAGGTCAGAAAGACATCAGAAACAATGACGGGACGATGAAACTTTTTTGAGACGCCACAGGGACATGCTAGGCAAACGGTGAACTAACGGGCATGAAGATGTCTAGGGAGAAAACAGGGAGAGTAAAAAGTTACACAGAATCTACGCAGCAGCAACAAAATCACTCTTCAGGGTGCAGGAAAGAAACTAATGCAAATCTTAGGTCATTAGGGAGTCTACGAGCCATCCACGTAATTTGCATTTCTTACACTCTTTATCCACAGCACAATGGAACCCAAGAGAATCCATCCAGAGAGGGAGAAGGGATGGATTCTGGGTGTTTTGGGGTGAGGGACTGGCAAGGGATGGGGAGAAGAGGGTCCAGTTTCAACGAATGTAACAGACGGGAAAGTCAGACGACCAAACTGTAAACTAGATAATGGAGGTTACGAACAAAATCATCAGACAGATACAAACACCGAGAGGATAAAGCATGAACTTTAGGCCCAGGGTTCAACGGTGAAAAAAAGCCCGTTCCTAGAATGATTCCTCTAGAGACTACTTCAGAAGAATCTAGCTAGCACAGAGAACTGCTCTTCAGGTACCCAATAAGTTAACAGTAGGCAATAAATAGCTTCCATTATTTCTGAGGCAGTAAAAATTTTGTACAAAAATAGAAATGCTTTTTTTACAAATAAAATTTACAGGCCTGTGGCTTTCTTTTTTATTTATGTATTTATGTATTATTTATTTATTATTAAATTTATCTTTCAAGAAACATCAAGTATTTTCACTCATTTTTAATTTTTAAACCCTGTAGCTTTAAGAAACAGATCTCTAAATCTTTTTTTACATTAATCCTTTCTAAAAACTAAAATAAAACAATAACAAAATAGACAACCAGTGTAATAATCTGACCAATAAATGTCATGTTTCTTTGAACTCTAAAATAAAATCCTACTTATTAAAACAAACCAAATGTAGTGGAAAGACATTTTGTGTTGTTAATTTTAAGTGCTTCTCCTGGCTTTTCTCTGGCGCTATGCCACCACCTTACCCTCTATAAACAGCTGGCCCCCACCCCCGTGGGGTGGGCGTGGGCAGGAGGGGCGAATTCTCCAGGCAGTGCTCTGGGGCACAGGGGTCTCAGAGTTAGAATTGCACGTTAGCCTTTGTTTGCCTTGTAAATTCTCAAGATGTCATTTATTGTATACGTGATTTTCTTAAAAAAAAAAAAAAAAAGGCAAAAAACCCCCAAAACGAAACAAAAAAGGTTAAAGGAGATTCAAATTGCAAAACAAAGGAGAATACAGTGGCACAAGTGGAGACTTGATAGAAACAAGGTAGCCGAGTTTAGTTATGGCGAACTGGGTGGGGGGGGGGAAATGGAGGCCTTATTGTAAAAATAACCGTCTCTCTTGGTAAAAGTTGGCAATGTGGTCCTCCTCTGCCTTTCCTGTAGAGCCCAGGCTGGCTCGTGGGACTTACCCTAAGAAAGCTAAAATAAGAGCAGGGAGCCTCGGGGGGGAGGATCAGTAAGGTTTGCTGTCGTTTTTGGAGCGCTTCAGCTGGACCTTCAAGCGTTTCATGCCAATCTGAAAGCCATTCATAGCCTGGATAGCAGCTTGCGCAGACACGGGATTGTCGTAGCTAACAAAACCTGGAAGACACGAGGGGAAGAAGGGCGGGAATCAGGATGGAGAGGCAGGGGTGCAGTGCAGGGTGGCGGGAGAAGGTTTCTGCAGGTGGGAGTGACGGGGCCCAAACTGGGGTCTCGGGTCAGCTTTACTGAGTTCGCGGTCGTGGTTTAGGGGCAGCACGGGAAATATCCACGGTAAAGCAGTGGAGGTGACTGGCTGTCATGAGAACAAAACCCCTCCGCGGAAAGCTAGAACCTCACAGAAAATTGTCGTGAGTCAGTTTAGTCTGTTGACTAATTCCAGTCAAATCTGTTTGTGTCAGAGTCCCTTAGAATCCTCCTCTAAGAGTCTCCAGTATTATCAGTGCATGCAGGGCCCTTGAAGGGCCACAGAGGCTCCAGGCCCCAGCCAGGTGAGGTTTAGCGGCATGATAATTAAGGGAAGGCAACTGATGTGCTGCCAAAGACCCGGACTGTTTTCATTCCAGTTCTCCATGGATACAGGATGGGGTCAGCGGATTAACTCTAGAATAATCTGTACTTGATTTCTACCAATTGGAGCTATTACTGAGAGGAACCTAGGGGCCCAGGGGAAATGTTGGGCCATTCTTTCTATCTCAACTTCCATTTTCAAAGCTCCACTGAATTCACTAGAATGGAAATTGCTACCTTGTATCCCCAAGTGTTTCTTGGAGAATAAATAGTTTAAACAGCTCAGGGCTTAACAGCCATCCTAACACATACTTCCCACAATTTTTCTCTGTACCAACACTCAGATGCCTCTGACAACCATCTAAGCTCTGCCAAGACCTAGAAACAGAATTCTGACCACATGGTTTGTATTAGCACTGGGGGTAGGGGTCACATGCCAAGGCTTCTTCAGTTAATGCTAGTGGAAAAGTGTTGCCCCTACTTACTTTTGTTGTTGGAAGGAAGTTATACTGATTGGATTTCAACTCTGACCATCCACTGTTCAGGAGGTTTTATACCAAGTTTCTCCATCTACTAAGGAGAACATTCCTTTACGAGTTAGAGGAAGAAAGGGACATAAATATACCTTTAGGAGAGTTCTTAGCTGATAATAAGAGGTGTATAGTATAAGGCAGAATAGCTTCTCATAGGCTGGCTGTATGCAAAAAGATGGTTTAAGTTTTTATTAAATTCCCAATAAATGTGATCTTGGATCTAAGACTTTTGCTGATATTCTTCTACATCTTAATCCAGAGGTAGCAAGATGATTAAAGAATGGAAGTGTGTCAAGGGTAAAATGGATAATGAAACCTGGCCAAGAGCTTAGGATAAAGAATGGGGTATGACTTATGACTGGCAGACCTGGGACCCCAAGCAGTTATGCTGTCTCACTGAGACACCTACATATAGGATGCTACATCTTTTTAATAAGAGCTGAAAACACAGTGCCTAATGCTAAGTATAATTGTCTGCTACATTACTATGTGTTATTATACACACAGTGGTTAAGTAAGCTGTAGACTGATACTCTTTTCAAGACAGTAAATATTTTCTCAAAATCAAACTGCAAAGTACAACCCTTTCTTATCGCCAAATAAGCTCAGACACTGTTTAGTGATGAGGACTATAATCGTCTGGCTGGAAGCCTGGGGCAGGGAAGCTTCCGGTGGTGAGCTCTTATAAAACACAGGCGCACACCCTCTGTAACAACTTACTGTCCATTTCATTCTCTCATGAGCCATTACAAGGGCGTTTATACACTTGTAATGGGTTCAGGCTAACAGCCTTTCCACTTGGATAAAAACAGTGACTTTTAATGGCCGACACACCGATTCCCCTTAACAACAGGGGCTTCAGACCTTCCTGGGTGACGGCACAGAAATTAGAAGGATGTTATGATAATGGAATTTTAGAAGCCAAGGCACTCTCTTTAGACGGGCTGCGCCATTACCCATCAGCCAAGTACCAAGTCAGGTTCTGCCTCTTTGAGAACCACCCCCACTTGCTTTTCTTTAAGCCACAGACTTCGTTTCCTTCTCCTCTGGCCCATATCTGTTCTACTTAATCTTGCTTTGTGCCTCTGTTAGTGCCTGCGGCCAATGTGACTCATTAAAGTGAATGAGTGAGTAAAGCAACTGTTGCACCTCAGACTGGGCCAGGACTTGCCACGTGAGGCACTTAGACCCTAGACATTTGAGCCTCTAAACTACTGTGGGAAACACAAGGGTTCAAAACATAAAACGAGAACTAGATTTAATAAATGCTCCCCTCCTTTGTAAAACATTAGGGCATGCAGGGAGCTGGCCCTCCTCTCTCTGGGAGCAAAAGTCACCCCGGGGAGGCAGAGTCCAGGCTGCATGAAGGAGGCTGTGACAGCTCAGGCCACCACAGGTCGGGGCTGTCCAGTGTCCTGAGAACACCAGTGTCTCTGGGGCGCTCTGCCTGCCCAGCAGGCCACGGCAGATCCCATCCGCCGCCAGACCACAGCCGCTCACGTCACCATGAGCTAAAGCCACCACCGTCCCTGTGCCCGTGAGCTGTGGCGGTGGGAGTGGCGTGAGCACGTCTCTGCCATGAAGGCACGTGCACTCAAGTGTGTGCACGTTTATGGACCACCAGATGCTGGGCCATAAGCACCCCCCCAGTGTGCTGCCCACACCCACAGCACCTGAGTCACAGTGAAGGGGGCGGGATTCGTGCCAAGCGTCTAGTGCCCCTCTGGGTCACGACAGCCTCGACCACACCACATTCTCTCAAGCATATTTCCGTCTGGGAAAGCTCGTCATTTAGACTATGGGGCCCAGAGACCAACGCTGCTCTACAGTGAGGACATTAGTTCCCAGCAGTGAGATCCCTGCACAGTGCAATATAAAGCATCACCTGCTCTGTGGGCATTGTTTCCCAGATCGTTCCTTTTTATATAGCCCCTTTTCCTCTTCCAGTTGAGATGACTTTGCCTAGTCTGCTCACTGGATCTAGAGGGCCAGGAACCACCACACACACTGGAGGCCCTGTCCTGGCGTCTGGAATACTGGCCATCATACTTTCCCTCCCAGGACTCCTTACTGGGAGTGCCCTGTAATGTTCTAACTGGGTTTCTTTTGCATACCAAAGCACTTGCTCAGATTGGTCTGTTTGTCAATGAAGACTTTAGCAGAGATAACATTTCCAAAAGGCATGAACATCTGCAGGATGTCCTGGTCTCCAAACTCCTGTGGAAGGTGGTAAATAAAGAGGTTTGCACCCTCTGGACCTAAAGAAGGGGAAGAAAAAAAAAAAATCAGAGTAAGGTATTCTTCACTTCTTAAGTTTCCAAAGCTGCTGCTTAGGAATGTTTTAAGACAGACAGGCTGAGCACGTGGCTTCCTCTCTTGCTGAGTGAGATTGGAGACAGAGAGATGTCCCGTGCTGGTGTGTCCTTTAGGACGGGCGTCATCCTTCATACCTTTCTGATTTCCAGAGAGACACCAGTGAAGAATGGCGTCCTTTTCATCTATAATCTGTGGGTCACATTTGCTTGCCGCACGTGAGTGCATACTTTCAGTCTTCCTGAGAGTGAAGGTAGCAGTCACGGGGTGGAGTGGAGGGCAGAATTCAGGTGTGGGTTTTTCCTGAGTGGCTGTATTTTGTAGCACATAGTATATACTGTCTCTTGGAGAGAGTATCCTGTGTATTCTGCGCAAATTGCAGCAATTTAGACATAATGGATATAGCAGTAATGCTGCTTGGATTTCTCAATCATTTACCTAATTATCCATCCAGTTTTGATCTGGCAAATCGCTTAACACACAGCCTAATAATCATCTTTATTAGAAGTGAGTGGCAGTGAGTCAAGGCAGGGAAAAATAGGTAGCCAGAGTCGCACCACTGTGGTCGGAAGGATGTCCCTGGGAGTTAGCCTTGCACACTGAGTGTGCGAGGGACAGGAGCTGCTCAGACACTAAGTGAGCTTCACTCTTAACCGTCACCTCCAGAAACATGAGCAGGAAGGGCAGAACGGGAGAGCTCAGCTGCACCAGCGAGGAAGGCTCTCAAATGAACTTTATTTCCACTCCATTCTCCCCTCTCTCTAACTCCCCGCATAAGAAGTATCTGCAGCTTAGAGAAAGCAAAAAGGAGGGACTCCCAGTGACCTGATGGCATACAGTCACCTTCTCATACGTAACAGGTAAGCATGCTTTCCAGGTCAGAGGGTGTTCGGGGGCATGGCAGATCCTCCTGCAGAGGTTCTGGGGAGGCCCTGCGGCTGGACGCCTCTGGGATGCTCTGGGCACGGTGTCTGGGAGGAGGGGAGCTCATCCAGCTGGTGAAGTGACCAAGCCACTGGTTCCTGGGACCTGAACTGACCTTCACGGGAGAAGAGCCAGGACTGCCTGTGTCCCTGGGAAGCCCCAGGGGACATGGTGCAGTGGGTCCCTAGGGGCTGTGGGGAGCATGTCTATATGAATGGGTCGAAGAAAAACAAAGCTGGGGTAGAAAGAACTTTGTAAAAATATAAAGGATAAACATCTTTGCAAAGAAAACTCAAAACAAGTTTCTTTCCACACACACACTTTTTTCTTCTATGATTATCATAATGAATGGAACTTTTCACAAGGAGATGTTCTTGGAGCAAATTTCTGAAGCCACAGAGATGAAGCATTTCCTTGTTACTTAAGTGTTAATGAGGCTACTTTAATTTTCTGTGTTGCTCACAATTTCCAAGGACATAGCCAGTGTAAGAGATGCAGTTTGTATCTAAAGGGACACAACTACAGGGTTTATGTCCCCAGATGTTTCCTGGGTAAAAAAAAAAAAAACTCCTAAAAGAAGTCAACACTTAACATAAATAGATGCAAAACCAGAACCCGGGAGATGGATGTTCTCAGAGCCGCCATGCAGTGTGTGGAGCAGGAGACCTGGTACTGCCCAAACTGGTCGTGCTTCTAAATAAAAACTCCAGATGCACAATGAGAACTAATGGGGCTCAATTTGAATTGTGAAGTAATCTCCCCTTCAAGCCCAGGGAGAAAATGCAGTTTTAATGCACTATGACAGATTACTGGCTATACACGGGCAGCCCTGGCCTTCTCGGATGCAGTGCCTTCTGAATGTGTCTGGGCCAGACAGGGGACCAAGGACATGGGAAGAAAGTAAATACACCCAGGGAGGCGCTGTCTTCTCCCTGATCACCAAGAAATACTTGGATATTGCCCAAGTCGTTAACACAAAAATGAGAAAAAGGTGACTTGGTATGGAAAATCTCTTAACATTCAGTGAAGGCGGCTACTGCCAGATGCCAAGGGCAAAGAAACAGTTTTTAGAGCATCACCCTCTGTATCTTCCTTCCATCTCCCTCCAGTAAGAAACCTGCTGACCAACCACGCACTTTGTGGGCTTCCGCTACAGCTGACTGACTTGCCAGAGCTCATCGAGTTGCGTCATTGGTCCAGCTGGCTGGCACCGAGTTCTTATTTCTCACAGGGCCCCAGGGCCCCTGATGCAGCAGGAAACACTGTGGGTGCCAGCGTCTTGTACCTGGTGTGTGTGTGTGTGTGTGTGTGAGATGTGCCTCCTGCAAACTCAGGGAAATGGGAAGGTGCAAAAGATGTCAGAGACTTATTTAGGAATGGCAGGAAAGGTGATCAGGTTGCCTGTAGGGATGCCTAATGCTTCAAAGTCTTAGCTGGGAGAAATATTAAAACCATTTCTTTAAAGGCCAGACTGGTTCACTTTCCTATGGGAAAATATATACCAAGGTGCATGACTAAATACATCAGATTGACTGTGCTTCTTGACTAGAGAACTATGGAATAGGAAATCTAAAACTCTGTTTAGCAGTGGAATTCATTGAGGCATTTTTCTTTCCTTCTCAGTATTATTTTAAATTATGCTTTAGTTACGCTAATGTCGTGCTGGGCTTTGTCGCTCAGTTGTGTCTGACTCTGCGACCCCATGGGCTACAGCCCACCAGGCCCCTCTGTCCGTGGGGCATCTCCAGGCAAGAATACTGGAGTTTGTAGCCATGCCCTCCTTCTCAGGATCTTCCCAAGCGAGGGATCGAATCCAGGTCTCCCTCATTGCAGGTGGATTCTTTACTGTCTGAGCCACCAGGAAAAGATGGTTTAAATTTGCTGAGTACATGTTAACAGGGTGAGAAGAGGATGATCAGAAGAGACATACAAAAAGATGGGAGATTAAAAAAAGACCTGACCTGAACAATCCTGAAACACCAACAAAGACTGAGCACTAACCCATGCTACTGGTAGCCTGCACGCCTAAATATACATAATCCGGAGAGGCAGCATGTATTCTGAATTATTTTACATTAATCCCAGAGGGTTAATTATTGCACAAGCAGTGCCTGAAACTCAAGGCACAGAAATTTAGGGCTCTGAGCCGGGATGAAGCAACTTGAGGGCCCAGACTCTCCTAAGCCACTAACTTTCTAGTCTGCTGGTGCCTAATGTGATCCAGGTCACACGGTCTGCCTCAAGGCGATCCCTGCTGGGTGATGAGGAAGTGACCAGCACTCAGATGCACGCGGGGAAACGCTTTCCTGGTCTCTTCCGAGGACATGATTATCTCACAAGATATTTCCTACCACCCTCATCTGTCACTATGGAAGTCAGACCTCAGAAACAGGGACTGCCCACAGGCTTTCCTTGGGGAAGCTGAGGCATTTATGGCACGGGGTCTCCACACATCTGGGAAACGCAGCTGTCTGGACAGTCGTGCGAGCTTTAACATAAGCTACAATAACATCATAACTGAGAGGAAAGAGATTTGAGAGAGAAAAACTCAGATATTCAAGTTCCTTCCACTTTGGATGCTGTTACAGATAAACAGAAAAAAACCCTTAAAAAAAAACAAAACAAAATGACACGATCTTTAAAGCTGTGTCCCTGTTACAGTTCCCAACTTGACAAAGTAAAACCATTCTACTGCTTATTGGATACCATGTTTAAAGTCCAAGTCTTCAGACAAAAACCAGTTTGGAACTATGGGGTGAGGATCAGAATGAAAAGGAATTTTAAAAATGTCTTCAGCACTTTCTTGTCCTTGCTTCTTGTATGCGAAACAAGTCAGAAAGAGAATAAATATCTCAGTGCAGATTTTGCTTTAAAAGCAACTTCAGTCAGGAAGGAGGAACCAAAAGGAGGAAAGAGAGAGAGAGAAGCCCTCCCTATTTGGGCCAGTTCATTAACTGCTTTATAATTAGCCTTCATGTATTCTTAGCATTCACTTCCTGATGTTTATTTTGCCTCATTGGCAGAGAAGCAAGGCAATCAATCACTTATTTGCTTCCCCAGAAGACCCTGACTAAACAAAGACCGGGTCGATCCTAAGAGTGGATTTTGTCATTAACCTGGACACCATCGCCAACTGCAAGGCCAGCGTCCCCATCACGGGGGACGTGGACCCTGCCAAAGCCGGGTGAGCCCACAGGATGCTGCACTGATGACTTGGCCTTCTAACGAGGAGTCTACGTGGAGGGGGAGAAAGGAGATGGCCCTTCTGATTCAGGAGAGAGGGCTCCTGGCAACGGTTTGGCGGCAGCAGCTACTAGGTGACTGCAGCATGGCACGCAGAGGGTGGGAGGTCCATCTGACCAGGGAGCGGGACAGTCAACGAAAAGACAGCTAGCAGGTTGCAACAGAGTGTTCAGGCCTGTCAGAAGTCTTAAACCGTGAGCAGGAGGCATGAAACAGCCGCTCTTCTTCTCAGGACAGCGGCTTATCGCCACTCCTCGGGGCTCTGCTCCGGGCTGGACGCTGCCCGCGGGCCGGGTCGGGCACCCACCTTCCTTCTGGCTGCCGGCGGCGCTCTGCTGCTGCAGCAGGCTCTGGCTGTAGAGCGTGGGCAGCGCCGCGGCCGCGTACTGCTGGATCCCTGAGTAGGCCTGGGTGAGGGCGTCCATGGTGCCCGCCGTGCCATTCGTCAAGCCCGTGGCGCCAAGTCCTCCGTTCAGAGCCGCCATACCTGAGAGCATTTGAGCAACTTTACAAAAAACCCAACAATAGAGAAGAGAAACAGCACTTTTCATTAGTGCTTTCCAAAGGAAGTCAGAGAATCATTTGACACAAGTACGACAGCAAGTGCATGCAGCGAGCACACCAGTCACACCGACGTGAACTTAGAGACAAAACCGTGAAGGAACAAGTCGCCAACAATGGCAGACACACAGACAACCACCACGACCCCCTGAGCGATGCTGAGCCGCACTCCCTAGGCCAGGGAGCGAATTCTCCGAGGCACTACAGGCGGGCAATACATCCGAACTCCATGCAGGGTGCTACTGGCAAGACTGGGGCTCTCCTTTTGGAATAAGACCCTTCTGCTTCTTACAGCTTGGAAGCACATAAGAAAAAAACATTAGTGGCAGAGGCCTGTGGCATCTGTACCCTTACCTCTAATTACGGGGTTCTTGAGGAGCCATGGGATGACCCAGGGGTTGAGAAAGGAAAGGACAGGCTGAACCTTCTCACCCCAAGCTGCCTGACTTGGAAATGGCTGGGAGGATGAGTGGTGTACTCAGTGAACTGCCAGTTCCATTGACTGGCTTCCTGAGCAGCTGAAGGATGCTGTTGGAGATGAGGACCTTAGGGAGAATCGTGCTGATGAAGAATTAAGGTGCAGGAAAAAATGCAGCTTCCTTCCCTCACTGAGGAGGACTGAAGCTGCTTATTCAGTGTGAAAGGCTAGAAAGGGGATGGGACCATTCTCAGAAGCAAATAGACACACACACACGTCCAAATACTAATTAGTGCCCGTGGAACTGGGATTTCCAGCAAGGAGAGCATTCCACGCCATGTTTTCCACTTAACTGAAGTGACCCTGCGTCTGGAGCCGATCTTGGCTATTAACCCATGTGAACTGGGTGACGGCCAGGACACTTTTAATTTTTTTCCTTGTCTCCTGGCTGCTCTTTTGCTCTGTTATGGTTGCTGTGTCACTTTTTCCTGAATACTGAGTCAAAACAAGTATACTTTAATAGAGTGTGAACTTTTCAATGAACTCAGGACATGGAAGAGGTGACATCATAATTGCTTTGAGTTCCCTTTACGATGAAGACATTTTTCTTTCTTTTTTTTTTTTGGTAAAGATCTGTTTCTGCAAAGAACTCAGTGAAAACATTAATGAAAATCGAAGGAATTAGGGCTATTGATTAAGGATGTTAAAATAGCAAAGATGATTAACTGCGAAAAAATGGTAATGAGCAGTGTAGTGAAAATAGAGGACAAGAAAATAAGATGCTTCGATGTCACACAGAGGAGTCAAGTGTCAGTCACCTCACACTCCATGCACAGCTCTGCTTGCCATCCACAGGACACGGGGAGGGGGACACGTACTTACACCACCATGCTCTGCTCTTCTGACACCGTCACCTCTCAGGTCAGAGGGTCACACACACGACAGGAATGAGAGCATGCTTAACAGGAGAGGAATCTCATGGCGCCTCAGGGCTGGCATTCTCCCTGGGGGGCTTGCGGGGACAGTGCTGCCCCGGGTGATGTTTGGGGTGAGGGTGGCCTGTCCAGGAAAGCCTAGAGGTCATGAGCATGGAAAGCCAGCTTCCTGAAAAAGGGAGTGATTTCAAGCCAATCTAGCTGACCCCAGCTGAGCTCAGGAGGCGCTGGCCAGGAGAGACCTGCCGACCCTGCTTCAGGCTCCTCTCCACGAAGGAGCCTATTCTGGTTGGTTCTGACGTGCATGCCGGTGCCCCGGGGGGATGGGCAACTGGTCACCCGGAAGAATTCAAAGACCACCAGAGAAGGATTTCAACTTCTCAGAGTTATTCCTACTGATGGTTTAGTATTATTCTATATGAAATAATCACTATATGACATTAACACTTGTCAGTTCAGCTGCTGGTGGTTGATTCCACCTACGCACTTTGGACAACAGGAATAGAGGTTTGAAGGTTAACTGCATAAAATGCTTCCCCTTAAAAGAACAGGGCTTCCTTCGAAAAAGCCAAATGGATTGATCATTTCATCCCAATTTAATTGAGATGCCCACAGGTGCTATTTGTGTGAGGAAGGCTGGACAAAAGGACAGGGGTGGCAAACCTCAATGAGGGCAGAAAGGCCTCTGCAAATGGTCTAGCGATAAAGTTAGTGCACTTAGTTCAGCTGTTAGCATATGACACCTGCCTCACATAATCCAGGAGGGAAAGCTCTTGTCAGTGAACTGCCCGCGTTCCTTCCTTCTCATCTTGCCATTCTGCTTTTAGCTTTAGAGTAGTGTCCTTCTTTTTAGTCCCTCCATCCATGCATGAACTTACAAAGGAAGAACAAGGATATGGAGCTCAAATAGTATAGCTACTTGTTTACTAACTAAAACTTATTTTGTGGGGAGATGAGGAACCCTTTGTGGGGGAAGAGGTAAAGTTTGGTAATTAACTGGGTCCATCTACCACCACCTTTCTCCCTGGCTCCTCTGTCCGTGGAGAAGAGTTGGTTCTGCTCAGAACCCCAGAAACCTGTCCTTATGATGGCAGGTAATGGTTCCTGGGTGGAGTGGGGAAGCAAACGGCAACGACACAGAAACTGGTCTAGTGGCCTCTGCCCAGGTTCCTGTTTCTTGACTTCCTTTTCTGAGGACTGTCCAGTGGGACAGGTGGCATCGCTATGTCTGTTAAGGAAGAACGGTCTGGAGGAGGACCCTGCCTCTACATTAGGTTTTCTCTTGCTGTCTGAGAAGCAAGTAGAAACTCTGAGACAGTGCTGGGGTTGTGAAACAGCTCTGAGGGTGATTCACCCCAGCAGGCAGAACTCTGGGTTTAATTAAACGTTCTCCTAGTTCATACTGTTTAGCAGGGGTTATTTGAGACTAGAAACGGTCTTAATTTCCCATGAACTATACTTATAGTTATCCAGTGGCAAAGTATTTAAAAAACACAACAATAAGGCCATTGTTCTTGCCAGAAGCAAAACTGAATAACACAGACCCCACACAAGAACTAATCATGGTCTCTCTGCCATTCAACAGAGTCCCTCTCTAGCCGCTCACGATAACAATGGGAAAACCCCAGCAAAGGACAGCAGGACAGGCTGAAGAGGCAGGAACACACGGACAGGACGACAGACAGCAGTCATGAGCACGTGCTGAGGAGGACAGCCACTCCCACTGGCCTGGTACTGTGCAGACCAAGGACAGGCAGGCGGTCAAATCAAATTCCTTGTTTTAGGGGAACTAGGTCCTGGGGCATAGAAGCAGCATGGAGGGGTGTGTGCAAACACTCGTCTGCAACCGAGGGGAAGGACAAGTGAGTTGGAGCGTCTGCAGAACAAGGTCAGAAACAGGAGTCAAGGCCGTGAGGGCTGCTGGCAAGAGGGGCGCTGGAGGCAGCTTTACTGGAATACAGTACCCTGCTGTCCTGTGGTTACCATTTCATCTACTGTTTGCTCACTAATCAAGAGCCATCCAGTCTGGAAAGAAAGAAAATCTTTTTCCTTTCTGCTTTCTTTGGCCTCTGGTCAGATAACCCTCAGTCCAAGTTCATCTTTGTTTTCCCCAGGGCATCTGCATAAAAGGATTCCATAAAGCCTGAAAGAATTCCCTACCTCTAAATGTGTGACTTATATCTTCTTATCTGGGTGATAACAGCTAGTCTTCATTTGGGTGAGTTCTAGGTTCTTCTTTACAAAATAAATTACAAGGTATTCTTTTGGGATTTTTGTTTTTCTCTTTTAAATAAACTGCACTTCTTGATCACCCTTTAGAAACTGTTCACTGAGTGAATCGTGGCTAAAAATAGGGCAACTTGCCAAAACTCTTTTCTTAATACTTTAAAATGGGCAGAGGTTGGGTGGCCTGCTAGGTAATTAGGTCCCCAGGTCAGATATCCCTAGGCTGTCGTGTGGCTGTTGTCAGGAAAGGTAGACCCCGGGTCCCCTTGGTGGCCTGAGGACCATTCCCTCTAGTGGAGGAGCCGAGGCTGAGCTCAGGTGTCAGCTGTGACTCATCCTCTGGCCGGGAGTCCTCTCCCCACAAATCTAAAGCACCGGAAGTGGGCAGGCTGCGTAGACAGAACTTGAGTTCTTCGGTCAGTCTGTGTATTTCAGAGCTGAGGAATTCTGTAAACGATTTGCCTCACTCTGCTTCAACCTGCCGTAGGGGAATAGGGCCCTCCAGGAGACTCACTGCCGTAGGGTGACCCTGGCCTCCGGAGGCTTAAGAAAGACCCCAGATGTTCGCTCCGGGGGCAACTCCTCTCCACTCAGCCTTATTTCCTGCTTCCCAAGGCCTCTTCTCTCCTCCTGTATGACTGTCATAAACCTCTGGATTTCAGACCTGGAGGGGACCTTTAAGGCCACCTGATCCAGGACGTCCCATTTTCAGATGGGACCCTGAAGTCCAGAATGGGGGCAGTGACTGGCTCAGATTCCTGCAGCCTGGAGCTGGCCCCGTGGTCCTGACCTCCAACTCATCGATTTCTCTTTTGTAACTTATTCACAGCCTCTTAGAAGGGCACCAAACCAGAACCCAGTCAGAGTTCCAGGAACCTGCAGATACCTGTCAACCACAGACACCTGTGACCAAGTACAAAACCTACACCCCTGAAGACTCAGGATGGTGAGGGGGCTGTCTGTGGAGACTCAGAGTGGACACAGACGGCACACGTCTGTCTAAGCGTGTGCTCCTGCCCCTCCTCCCAAGTGTTAGTTCTCCCTGTGATGCAGCCTTTGCAGGTTGTCTCTGGCTGAGCACTATCTGTGGAGAATTTGGGGGAAGGCTGTCCACCAGAGCAGCAAATACTCACTGTTGATGGTACCTGCGAGTGCATTAATGTTATTCAGTCCGACAGTGGCTCCTGCCAGTCCTTGCAGAGTCCCGAGAGAGGTCAGAGAATTCATGGCTGCACCAGCAGTGGAGTTGGGGGTTGAAGCAGCCACTGCAAGACAAAAGGCAGACGAGGGAAGGGGAGAGAAAGACACCGTGAGTGAGAGCCCGCTGGCCCAGGAGGCGGTCTGTCCCATCCTTGCGGACAGAGCTGGGGGGCCTTCAGTCACGGGACGACCGGGAGCCTCGCTTAGGCTTTAGTGTGAGAGACGTGGGCTGGGCTTGTAGCAACTGTGACAGTGACATTTAGGGGAAAAAATCATCGTGGCTCTGCTGTGCCAGCTAGCTGGCTAGCGGGGGTCAAGCCACGAGAGGAGGGGCCTTCCTCCCGAGTGGTGGGTCCTTCATCAGCCCCACTTTAGGAACCTCTGAACAAATGACCAGCACAAGCTGGGGGGGTGGGCAGTGAAATGGCAATTCTTGGCTTCCTTATTCTTTATGCTTCGGACACGGCATTTTCTCAGTGAAGTTAAAAAAAAAAAAAAAGTCATACATATTCCTGGGTTTGACAGAAGACTTCAAGACCCAAGTAGTGGTGCTTATAGAAGGGGAGATAAAACAATCCCCCACCTTTAACTAACAGCTTCATTGGGATATAATTCATGTTATAAAATTTACTCCTTGAAAGTATGCAATTCCCTGATCAGTACATTCACAGAGTTGTACAACCGGCACCATATCTAATTTTGGAACATTTTTATTATCCTCTAAAGAAACCCGTACTCATTAGCGCTCATTCTGCATTCTCTCCCCTCTCCTTGGACACTGGCAACCACTGATGTACTTTCTGTCTCTGTGGACTTGCTTAGTCTGGATATTTCATATAAACGGAATCATAAAATATGTCATCTTTTGTGACTGGCTTCTTTCACTGAGCAAAATGTTTTCAAGGTTCATCCATGCTGCAGCACATGTCAGTGCTCTATCCCTTCTTATTACTGAATAATAGCCCGCTGTATGGAAACAGTCCACTTTGTCTGTCCATTCATCAGCTGTGGACATGCTGATTGTTTCCACTCTGGGGCTGTTATGAGTAATGCTGCTGTGAACATCTGTACTCAAGTTTCTGGGCAGACATATGTCTTCGGTTCTCTTGAATACGTAGTTAGGAGTGGGACTGCTGGTCATATGATAAAGCTCTGTCTTCTATTTTGAGGAAATGCTAAAATATTCCCCAAAGTGGCTGTCCTCCCTATTCATTTTTTAATAATTTTCATTAGTTATGAGTGTTTCCCTGGGAAAAAGTCCTCAGATGCCCTCATACTGAAGACCATTTTGGAAGCTCTTCTCTGGTGTCACCTGAAATCATGTGAAAGCTCTTCAGGCCTTTACCTTTTCATTCCCTCCCCCCCTCCCCCAGGCCTTTATTACTGGCTGAGAATCAGAACATGCCCCAGGGATACTTTTTCTCCCATACTCGCTGGCACATTAGTGTGTAAGAGCTGACACATGTAGGCTGATGTCAGACTAAAATGCATTTCTCCATGGGAAATGCAGGGGGCTTCTGTTTCTAGTGGTTAGGTGGTCTAGGTACTAGAGAGACTCTCCCACTGAAACTAAAATGCTCAATAAGATATTTTAAAGAATACTTTAAATTGTATCAATAACTGACCATTCAGTAAAAAATATTCAGAATCAACGGTAAGTTGAAAGTGGGAACCCAGGAAAATAAGTAGCACACTTAAGGTAGCTTTTGCCTTAAGGGTATTTGGTGAACCAGATAAATTTAAGCTTCAGTTCTCAAAGCCTTCCCGTGCATGACAGATACAAGAAGTCTAGGGTCCACCTCAGGTAAAGTGCATAAGAAGAGACTCCCCCAGCAGGAAGTCTGGAACCCTCGAAGGCTAAACAAGCAGTGTAAGGATGAACAAGATACACTTCCTGCTTCATAAACTATAAGGACAACTGCCTGTATCAAAACAGTGCTGAGCAGGGGGAGGGGATTCCCTCTGATAGTATATAGCCCTCACATAAGTCTGCAAAACAACTTTCTTTTACCTGAGTGGTCAAAACCCATCTAACCATCAATTTAAAGTGGCCCCCAGCTTGTACTCTCTTCTAGCACCTTGTAGAATCAACTGTAAGTCAACCCTGAAAGGGCCCATTTTCAGCAAAGAACTCTCAGAAATAAGGCTCCAAAGACAGTTAAGCTCACAATAAAAAAACAAAAACACAAAAAGACAAAATATACAAGAAAACCAAGTACCAAGAGTAAGAATCAGCAGAGACAGAGTTAGACACTATATTTAGATCCACCAAAACTTCAGATACTGGAATTATTAGTGCGCAAGAGGAAGGAAGTGTATTTAACATGTCTGCACAATATGAGAGGGTGAAAAATGAAAAAAAAAGATTATAAGAAATAAGAGGTGCTGAAAAATGAGCTACAGCTGTAAATTACATACTATCACTATTTCATTGCCCTCTTTAAAAAAACCAGAAAACTGGAAGCAAGTGGGGCTGCAGTTAAGAGTGAGAGCTTTACAGCAGTTATTGATAACACTGAAGATATGGGAGCAACCTAATCTGTCCGTTGGCAGATGAATGGATAAAGAGGGTGTGTGTGTGTGTGTGTGCGTGTGTGTGTGTGCGTGTGTGTGTACATGCATATACACACACACACACAAAATAGAATACTATTCAGCCGTAAAAGAATGAAATATTACCATCTGTGGCAACATGAATGGACCTACAGACTGTCATATTAAGTAAACTAAGTCAGATAGAAGAAGGCAAATACATATCACCTATATGTGGAATCTAAAAAAAAAAAACCCCACAAATAAATTTATTTATAAAAAAAAATAGAGTCACAGACATAGAAAGCAAATTTAGGTTACCAGAGGGGGAAAGTGGTGCAGGAGTAAATGAGGATTTGGGGGTTCACACACACACGCTGCCGTATGTAAAACAGATCATCAGTAAGGACCTCTGTAGAGCAGAGGGAAGTACTCAGTACTCTGTAATGACCTACATGCGAAGAGAATCTGAAAAAGAATGGACGTATGTATAACTGAATCACTTTACTATATACCTGAAACTAACACGACACTGTAAGTCAGCTACACGCCAGTATAAAACAAAAATTAAAAAAAAAATGCAAGTCAGAGGTCTCTATTTTGCTTTTCTATTTATTTAAGACCCCTGAAGACTGGCTGTAGTGTACTGTAGTCTTCTGACCTCTTGTTGTGCTGTTGTTGGGTAATTAGACAGATGGGAAGAGGGTGAAAAACAGTGGGGAGAGGAATCAGACATGAGATGAACTGAACTAAACAACGTGCCTTAACATGAGAGGACTCTGTGTGCTCCAGTGCTCTGGACAATGCTCTGAAAATTTACCCCAGTTTAAGTAAATTGGAAAAGATATCTCAGTTATGTATCTGGCTGCTTTTAAGAACCTTCTGGGTTCTGGAAAATCATCTCTTTAAAGCAAAAGGAAGACTTAAATTTGTCACACAACCAGTCTCAATCAAGTACTTCAAATATTCAGGAGAAACACAGCAGAGGAGCCCGTCAACACAAAAGACAGAGATGTATTAAATGCCATCAACATGCCTGTTTTCCTTACTTCTGTGCTGGCAGCCAGGCAGGAGGCTGCCTGCGTTCTGCCCACCTAAAATTAAAATTCCCTCTGTCTCCACTAAGAACCGTGTCCTCTGCTTTCTCAACTAAACTGTTTACAAGATGGCACAGGAACGTTTCAAGAGAAGGTGGTAAATAAACATTGGTTCATCTTTGCCCACGGCATGTCTTTTAGTCAAAGGGTGCTCCATGCAGGGGAGAGGCTGTACCTCAAAGCCCAGAGGAGCGTGGGGCGTGGGGGGGAAGTGGGGGCAGAGCTGCCTCTCCTTCTAGGCAGTGATGGAGAGACCTGGTCACAAGTCATGTTTCACGGCTGCAGTACCACCGGCTCTAGACCACCAAGCAGGCCACCAAAGAGGTGGTGAGCAGCTGGCCAGCGAGGAGCTGAAGCAGCCATGCAACCCACCAGTGGTGTATGTGACCCCACACGGCAGCTCGGTTCCGGGCCTTCTGATGACAAGCGGGAGGGGTGAGGGTGCTGGAGAGGGAGGGGGACCGGGACCAAACCAGCTGCTGCCCGGTCGCCAGGACAGGAGCAGAAACACAGAGGAGGTGCGGCTTCCTTCTTATTCTCTGCACGAGGTGGGGTGACAGGCAGTCTGGGGGGAGGCCGACGGCTGAATGGAGGGAATGAGGCTCTCCCCCTTTCACAGATTCCAGATCCAGCCAGAAAAGTAGAAAAGTGGCCGTCTGGGGCACCAGCCTCTGACTCTGACCACGTCTGCACCATCCTTCCTACATGAAGGGGAACCTTCTCTCCTCTGTTTTATGGGCGCCCTGGCAAGTCCTGTCTCCAGTACTGGGTCCCAGAGTACTGCTTCCCAGGAACCCAGTGCCTCCATCTCCACCTGTGAAACCCTCTCCCCACTTTTCCTAGACTGCAAGATTTTAACTTTTAATTTTGTATTGGGGTACAGCCGATTAGCAAACAATGCTGTGAACAGAGAAGGGACTCAAGTGTACATATACATGTATCCATTCCCCCCACAGACCCCTGCCCATCCAGGCTGCCACCTAACACTGGGCAGACTTTCACGGTGGACCACAAGAGTTTCGGAAAGCTACAGTGAAACGACATCAACAGAAGACACCAAGAGTCTGCCTCCAGAGTATCCGCAGGACACTGAGGGCACAGGAGCTTTGGGGTCTAGGAAGCACAACAGTGGCACACACTAGGGAACACTGCCCGCCCTGACCAGGCGCGCCCAGGCCGGCGGAGCCTGCCGTCGCCGCTCTGCATCACACGCGCGCGGATGCTCCGAAGCGGGCAGGGTGGTGACGCGCCGACACGGGCGCCTCTGTCTTTAGCGCGTCCCAACCCGAGGGCGAGCACAGCGCCGCCGCTCCCGTGGGGTCTAGTTACTCCACACTAACCACACCTCTTATTTCCATTTCTTCCCGAAAAGGATTTTTCAGGGGGAGGGGTGGGGAGAGGAGAGAGGACAGGGTGGGAGGAGGCTGTTCGGGTTA